ATTCCTTACTCTGGCACAACGCAGGAGACAATGCTACTTCTTCCTCCCTGGGGAAATCCGAGTCTGTGCACATCTGTCCCATGTCCCTTTGTGCTTAGCCAGGCAGAGAATTGTTCGTGTTTTGTGTTCTTCAGCACTGCCTGCTTATCACCCTGCTCTTAGTGTTTGGCACCAGCATGGCTCGTTCCTATAATCTAAAGATTTTGTTATTATACAGGGAGATTTTCTCCTATTATCTGTCTTATTTTCACAAGCACTTTAATCCTTTTACTCCTATGTGGTAAAACTTGTCTACTGTGGTGTGTCTGAAGCACAGGGCCTTGGTGATGACATACGAAGTGTGCAAAATGGCACTGGAGGTGGATTTTTGCCCACTGAATTAGACCCATAAGGCTCCTCTGAAATCTTTAGCTTTCAGGGTATCCACTTTCCCAGCTAGACAAACACAGCTGATGCCTTGCCCCAAAAGTACCTCTTCATTTTCTTTCTTTCTTGCCTTCCGTTCTCCTTATGCTCTATTTCATGTTTCTTGAACTTTCTTCTGTCACATGTGAGGACTTAGAACAATATTAAACCTATGACAGCCACTATACCAGCTCCATCTCACCTATCCGAATGCAAGCTGGCTGCCACGTGAAGTAATCTGCCTCTTGCACTGCAGGTTTGATCACCAGGTTTGGGCAGTTAAAGTCTCATTTTTGTCCTAGTTTCCAAGGCATTTCCCTGGCCCGGATCTAGTTACCTTAGGGATTAATTGATCCATCATGATTTTGACCTCCTGCACCATCCACTCCCCATGAAATGATGGGGCTGTCATGCCTGAAGCAAAAACGTTGTGTGTGACAGACAGCTTTCTTTGTGGCTTGGCTGGGATCACAGGCTTTGCCTCTGAAGGATACTAGAATGGCAAGAATCTCAGCACAATATAGGACCAGTTTTTTTTAATCTGCTGTCTTAATCACAACCCTATTAGAACAAGGTTTTATTATTCATTGGGATTTGATTATATTCATGAGACTGGAGAGGAAGCTATTTATTCCTTTATTGTCTTTTGACGTGTCGTAAAAGATCACAGCATACAGAAAATATAACTCTGTAATTGCAAGCAAGGCAAAAAAAAAAGCAATAAACTCCATGAATACATGTTTGTCTCCCCTTTGCTGCTGTTACATAAACTGTGAGTGTAGGTAGAGTACATCCATCTCTCTTTTTTAACATGAAAACAGCAGATGGGGCACATGGCTCTTTCTGAAGGTTATGGTGTGTGCAGCAGTGAGGATTGGCAGGGTTATTGTGTGTAAAGCCAGTGGGGGCTTTATCTTTGCTCAGAAATAGGGGCTTGCTTCACATTTCCATTTTGATTAGCAATAATGATACAAAAGCAAATTTTCTGTGTAAGGAAGAGCTGCTAATAAAGTGACCTTTCAAAATTAAGTAGCTCATTGAAGTGCCATATCACAATAAGCGCATACAAGGCTGGTCCCAGCTGCAGCAGGCAGGGAAACTGGACGGGAATCCAGAGAAACGTGGAACAGGAATCCTGAAGTGGATGAACGGCACAAGGTGGCACAGTAATGGCAGCAAGGAGCAATGGCCAGGTGCTGTTTCCAGCTCTGAGGGGCTGATCTACGTGCTTTGTCTTTGAAAGGATCTGAAAGTGTGAAAGGCAGGAGCAGAGAGTGTTTCTAGCAAGGTTTCTGGGCACAGGACTGTGCAGTTAAGGGACTTGGCTGTTGTCCTGCCAGTGCTGTAACATCAGTTGTGCTTGGATGCTGTTGGGAATGTGTTTGCATGGCTTTACTCATGGTAAACACAGGGTAGACTTGGAACTATTTTGTGGATTCCTCTTGGATACAGGTAGAAAGCACTTAATACCACGCTGGTCCTAATTCAAAACCCTGGTTTCTATGTAGGAATTATTTGCAGTTAAACTCCAGCTACGCAGCCTTTGGCAAGAGACATGAATCAATTTGTCCAGCTTTTCTTTTCTGTTTTGTCCCTGTGTGAAGGCTGATGCCCAGTGTGTGCCAAGGGGGCCTTTCAGACCCAATAATGCGCCCTTGTGTCTCGTAGCATGCGTGGAATTTGCATAGGCTGTGCTGGGACAGGCAGGTTTCTTTTGTTGCTGGAAACAAGGAGCAAGTTCTTTTCCCTGTCTCTGCTTCCTAATGCCTCTTCAAAAGCTCTCAGCACTCATGTAAGAAATTTACTTTTTTCTGTTTATTTTTGCATTAAATGTTGTTGGACTTTGTAAGACTTCTAACACAGGCAGTGCAGAGAAGTCATATAAATCAGTGCTAGTTGACAAAATTGTTTAATTTTCTTTCTGTGAATCTAGATATCTAATTGTCAGAGGGAAGAGATAATCTGTGATGCTTGATGTAACTGCTTCAAAGTATTTGCATATCTTCTCTGTGGGGAAACAAAACTGCTAGTGAGTGAATAACAGTGCACGGATCATTGCAGGCAGGGTCACTGGGCCTATACACTTGCTATTAACCCTTCTCAGGATCTGTATTGCCAGAGAATGAGTTGTCATGGGTTTCAAGCAAAGGGCTTGCTCCACATTATGGGCAGAGCTGGCACTTGTTTGTGCATTGTAGCCCTATGCAATGAAATGTGCATATTATCAGATCAATTGGCAATTGCTTTTTGGCAGCTGATACCAAGTTGTTGCATTTTGGTCTTGATTTATTGCAGATAACAAACTGCTGAAAAACAGGCTGGGAGGTGCTCAGCAAAATATGGCCCCCATTTGGAGTCAGCAGTGTGCTTGCTAGGCCACTGAGCCAGGCAGCTGGGAGCCTTTAAGAGCTTTCTAAAATTTTCGATGACCTGGCAGATTGCCTTGCAGTCTGCCTTGCAGACCTTCTTCCTCTCCATCCTCTTGAAGGGTGTCTTTGGCATCCATGGAGAGCAGTGTAAAGGGAAGGGGGTTTGGTATGGATTCTCACGATGCAAGAGTTGCTGAGAGCCTCATTTCCTCTTGTTTCAGCAAGCATCTTTCTTCTTGTGGAGCCTGAGTCCCAGCTTCTGTTCTGTTATTCTGATCAGGCATCCTGGAAATCCTGGAGATAGTATTTCAGGTCAAAAATGTACAGTAGCTCAGATAACTCTTGGGTTCACAGATAATGTGTGGAGGTGGGCTGGAGTTCAGGTGACTTGCCAGTGTGTGCTCTGATGTCCTCCTGGTGAGCTACTGTCAGTTTGCATCAGAACAGGAAGCTGCTGGGGTCTCTGAACTGGTAGTGAAGTGGTTCTGTTTTGTGAGCCAGTGGATGTGAGTTCAGTGGGATGCAGATGCTTTTGGTGGCAGCTGTGTTGAGCACTTAGGGATGCCCAGCATGGTCTGAACACAGTGGCATGGCCTCCACCCTTCAGCAGTGAGGAGAGGAAGATCAAGGTGCTCCAGTCTTCTCTAGCAAAGCCTGTTTTGAAAGGAAAGCCTTTATGGGCTTGGAGGTGTTCAGCAGAGCACTTGGTGCCCTGCATCTGCATCTCAGGGACTGACGTGATCCCTGGTATATAAGCACAGCATCCCTATTAACTTGGCAGCTTGGCAGCTGCCCTTGGAAAATGGTGTCCAGTAAGAGCTCACAACTGAGGATGGATGTAGAAAGAGTGGAAAGTATTATTTAAGAGCTAAAGAATGATTAAAGGATTGGGGAATGTCACAGGCTGAACATACACAATATGTGCAAGCTGAGTGGGTAGGCATCCTCCTCCTGGAGCCCTGGAAGAACTGGCACACCCATTCCCAGAGCCAGGCTGTCACTTTATAGCTGAGTATGAAATCAGGACAGTAGCTCATGACTGGAGAATAATTACACTAATCCTCACCTTTAAGTAAAAGAGTGGTGGGAGAAGCAAGCTGGGCTACTCTAGTCTGTGGACTTAAGAAACATGAAAATGTTTGGAACAGTGATGGGAAGATGGTAATGGAAGACCTAGAGGTAGATGGAAATTTGGATTAAAGTCAAGTATGAGCATTAAGAGTGCTGATTAACATGAGGTATCTCTTTGATAATTCTTTGATTTGATTTTCAATATAATAAATATACTTATCCTCTGGTAGGGTTATGTACCTGCTAGCGGAGCAGTGTCTCTGGTGCATCCCTTTTCCCACGCCACATGAGAAGCTGTGAAATGAAGAAAGTAGGTGTCAGTAGAGAATAGGGAGGTCAGATAAGGGGCATGAAGGGATGACAAAGAGGTAAGAACTAGGTGAGCTGAAAATGGATGATCTAGGTGAAAAATTAGTAGGGGTCCTACTAAGGTTAGTAGTCCTCAAGGACTGACCTTGCATGGCTCATGACAGTAAGTTCTCACTTGCTTCAGACTCAGAGTGCAGAGCTGGCAGACAGCAGTAACCAAAGGGTTGACAGCATGTCGCCTGGAAGCATTTGACTACACCCACAGCAAAACTGAGGGTTCAGTGTTATTGCACATTTATGACCTTACAAGCAAAGTCCCAGGACATGAGAACTACCTATTTGTTGATAGAAAGGTAGGTTTGATAGAATGGCAATAGGAACTGATGAGTGTAAGCTGTCCATGAAAAAATTTAGATTGTTTTTCAGACTTTTGGGCTGCTGGGAGCAAATTTCTTGGGAGGAAGGGAGATAAAACTAAACTTAGTTATGACTTAAAGTAATAAGTTAATGTAAAATATTGGGTGTGATCTCTGCCAAAGCTAGTGTGATGTAGATGCAGTGAAACAAGTAGTAGAGATGTAGATGTAGTTTTCATTGGGTGTTGCCTATGTCATCATCACGCTGTGGAGTGCTAGTCTTAGGCTGTGTTCTACAAAGTCCAGAAATTATTTTTCTCCATAGAGAAGTGTAACTGTGCTGTGCTGCTCACCAAAGTCAGACAGTGCTGTTGGTGTAGACTGGTAGCTCCTGTATCAGCAGATGTCTCCTTCAGGGCAGACCAGCTGGCTGTAAAAACCAAAGTGATGAAGAGTTACTTTATTTTTTTTCCTCTTTCCCTTTTTTCAGTGATGCCATCTGCAGTTTTGTCATCTGCAATGACTCCTCCCTCCGCAGCCAGCCGATCATCTTCAATCCCGACTTCTTTGTGGAAAAGCTGCGCCATGAAAAACCAGAGGTGTTCACAGAGCTGGTTGTCAGCAACATTACCAGGCTCATTGATTTGCCTGGGACAGAGCTGGCCCAGCTAATGGGAGAGGAGGACCCAAAGCTGCCTGGGGCAAACAGCACAGCCTCTGGATTCTTTCGTTCTCTGATGTCTCTGAAGCGCAAGGGTGAGTATGGATGAAGTCTGGTGCTCACCTTTAGAGTGATGCGGTCATCATTTGTTACACTTAGTTTACAAAACTTTCAGCCCGTTGTTTTGAACCTGTGGAATGCTTAATACTATGTTTTCATAATCTTTGGGGATGCTACTTCCAGAAAGCAATAAAACAGGCCAGGAAATTGATCCTGGAAATTCCCTGCACTTTAAGAATACCCTTGTTCTGGGATTATTGCTGTGGTGTATGTCAGGCTGGCTTCAGTGGTCAGCTGCCCACTGTGCAGCTCAGAAATCTGTAAGTAACTTCCATCCAAGTGCTATTGCTGCTCTGATCCACATCCCAATCCAGTGAGTCACTGAGAAATCTCTGCAGATTGACTGATGAAGCCCAGTTTCAACTCAGGAAGGTGACATATCTCTCTTTCTGTCTTAGACAAGCATTCCACCAGAATTTTCTTCTGCTAAACTGACTATTCTTATCTTCTCTCCAGTTCAGCTGTCTTGGTTGTGAAACATTAGCCCCAGGCCCTTCACAGAAGGGTGAGCGTGGTTCCTCTTTTGAGCGTGGTTGTGTTCAGATCCTTTCCTCTTCAATGGCTGGTATTTACCACTCTGTTTTGTTGAAACTAAAAGGGTGTTCTAGGTGTGTGTGTGTCTTCTCCCACTTTTGCCCACACTCAAGGGGAGTCTGGTTCTCCTGATAAGTTCAGTTAAGCCTTCTCACTCATCTAGACAGAAGCAGCCTCCATCTGGGCCCCTCACATTCCTCCTCAGCTCTGGTTTCCCAGCTTAGACTGGCTGGCTGCTGGCAGAGAAGCTGTGAGCTGCCTTCAGATGTTGGCAGCCTGAGGTTGAACACTTCTGATTAGTCTTCCCCTTCCTTTGAGCAGTTCTGCTATTGTGAGTATCTCAGAGAAGGGAGCTATTGCTATGGCATTGTTTGACTACAGCTTTTTTCTATCTTCAACCATTTCATAATTTCTCTTAAGTGTTTCTGATCCTACCAAGCCTATTCCTGCACTATGTTTCATAAGGACAAGCTTTGCAGCCCCACTGATCAGGCAGAATTTTCTGGTGGCAGTTTCAGCTCTCCACTTCTGTCTGACCCATCAAGAATCCTGGTACATACACTCACCCTAGGAAAATAAAAGACATCAAGTCCTTTAGCATCCTTAGATGAGAATTACTTAATACTGCCATGACTTACTTTGCTGCTCCATAATGACAGGTCTTTCTGCTAAAAAAAACCTTCCCTAAACTGCAGTTAGACTGTGCTCATACCTATTATTGCTTCTCCCTCATCCCAGAGAGTAGCAGGACACCTTAAATTCAAGCATTTGCCACTTGACAAACAGAAGTGAGTGAGTAACCAAATTGAAAGTGTTTTGTTAGTGTGTATGGAAACCCCCATGTTCTTGTCAAAACCTTCCAGCAGGGGCTGGTGAGCTTTTCACTTTTTCACTTTTTTTATTAAATTATCTGTATTCTGTTGGAGCACTGCTCTTATCAGACCTGATGTCTCCTGCTAACTCTCTTCCCCAAGAGCTCTGCTTTCCCCCACTCAGATGTCTCCATGGCCGTGTCACTACAGCTAGCAGATGTTTCCAAGTCTGCTGGCTGCACTCCCAGGCTGCAACGGCAGTGTCTCCCAGCACTGACAGGCACTGTCTGTGAACTCCTTGGCCAAACTCTGAGAAAAAGAAGTTTGTGCCTACAGAGAAAATCAGTTTCATGTACTGTGTGTTTAATCTTGGAGCCATCATTTGTTTTTCTTCATGTTATAGACCAGCTAGAATAAACAAGTTTTATTTCTTCAAAGCCAGAGGCCAAGGACCATGGAGCTCAGAGCTGATCAAACTGCAAATACTTACAACTTCTTCAAGCATCAGGAAACTCGATCTCATGCTGCTGCTTAGTTTCAGAAGCAATGGTACAATAACATCTAATCCTTTGTAATGCAGCATCCATTCTCCAGACACGTCTTTCAAGTTTCTTTGAGAATCAAATTCTCATTCAGGTACCAGCTTCTGACTTCAAAACTAAATCGAATTTGTCAGGCCCTGCATGTCTCAAGAAGATGTATTTTCCTCTTCTGTTCCTGGCCACTGTTGATTCTATCTGTTGAATGTCTAATGAATTTCGTTTTCTTCAAGGACAAAAATCTTTTGCTTATCATTCTCTCCCTTTGCACTCAAACCTTTCAGATCTTTCATGTGGATCAAGAGCTCTCATTGCCCTCCTTTCTCTTACAAGACTGAAGCATGCGCTTTATCAGAGTGAGGTCAGAAAGTTCTTGATTTAACAGGAGGCTGGAATTCCTGGTGGCTTACCATGTATTTCAGAAGTCCTGGAAGAAAGCAGAACATTTTTCAGGAGGAATAAATTTAGTTACACGGGATGGCTGCTAGAGAAGTGCACAGGGTTAACCAGGTCTCTCTCACATGCTGTGAGCATCAACACCACAGAGCAGTAAGATCTGTAGTACAAGAGACCAAAAGCAAGTAAAATCAAAATGAGATTTTAGAGTGGAAGAAAAAAAGCAAGAGAAAGCTTGTGGGGGAGATAACTTTTATCAAACCAGCCAATGCATTGCTTGGATTGCTGGGCTATCAGCTATAGCAGTAAGGAGAGAAACCTTCAGGGCAAATGGTGCAGATGTCCAGCCTGCCCTCAGAAGTGACCCATGGTCCTGGCAGTCTGGTCATGGAGAAGGGAGGAATATTCTTATATCTGTTGTCTCTTTAAGCCTAAGTACAAGGGCAGGGCAAACCAGCTCTGTACCTGTTCCAGGTCTCAGTCCCTGTCAGCATGTTGTGGTACAGTCTATCCAGTATCTTGTTTCCAGTCCAAACTTATACACATCTGAGGGAAGAAGTGTGGTGCCCAGAGTTCTGGTTGCTGCCACTGAAGTCTCTGGGAGTTGTCTCCACTTTCTGAGGGATAGATCATACTGGTTGTGCGTGTTTGGCAGAAAAATCCATTCAGTAGCAAGGTTGCATTTATTAGAAAACACTGTCCTTCTGGATAATCACTGTCTCACCTGGGAAGTTCCTTTGTGGACAAGAAGAGTATTCTACATTGGTTCAACAAATGCCCTTCAGTTAAATAGATCTCTCATCTAATGTTTCCTTCCCTGCAGGGATCTCCTTCCTTTCAGCTAGTTGCTTCCATCTTCTGGAACTATAACCTGTGTTATTTACTGGAGTTTGGGAGCTGCAGCTCATGGCCAATCTCAATCCCATGAAATGGGAACAGACTCCAAGAGAGGAGCCCGGCTTATTGCTTTGTTAGTCTCTTTCTGCCTTGTTCAGCTTTCATACTTTACTCAGACTGGGGCAACTGACATGGAAGAGAGATTCACTGGGTTGAGGAAATTCCATGTTTTACCCATGCCTGAAAAGGAAGCTAGTGTGAGCCAGTCAGATTATGTCTGCTCTCCCCAGTAGTGCTTATTTGCCTCTCTCATAAACTCATAGCTGCAACTTTACTTTCTGCTCCACTTCATGTCAAGCCACAGTGAGGATTAATATGAACATTTCTTTCATGGTGTAGAGTGTGCCAGTGTGGCAGGCACCAGGGCTGTCCAGGCTCTTACATCTGGCTTTCCCACTTTGCTCTTTTCATAAGGTCTGGGCTTGCAGATTATATGCCATTTTAAACTGAAGCATCTGTTCTGGTGTTGTTTTTTCTTTAAGGGCTAAAGAATATTTGCTTTAGCTGATAACAACTGTAATTAAAATGAGGTAAGAAGCAAGGATGATGAAGCCCATGTGAGTACAGCATGGTGAGATGAAGTGACTTATTTTGGAGTGTCTGTAATATCTCACATCTGTGAGGGTCCTTGTGATCTTCACCCTTAGCATTTTGGGACACTGCTCTTTGCATGTGGAAATCCTGTTCTTTGGGGAGCATTAATTTCAGTGGCTGCTGGGTTCTGAGCTGCCTAAACACATTATCTTCTGTTCTGCAGAGAAGGGGGTGGTGTTTGGCTCACCGCTGACAGAAGAAGGCATTGCACAGGTTTCCCAGCTAATCGAGTACCTGCACAAAAGTAAGTGGCTCTGTTTGCTGTCTTCCCATCCCAATGGGTACCTCTCTGGCCCACCTCAGGTCTCTAGTGCAAACAGAGTGACAAGCTCTGAGCTCTCCAGCAGCAGGAGTTTGGGACTGCACTGGGCAACTGTTCCTCAGAATTGCCTAGCAGATATGTTGGTCTATTTCCCTCTGTACAAGGACTTTCTGTACTGATGGGAGACAGTTGAAGTCATGTCTCTGAATGCAGTTCACTGTGGTTTGCTGTCAAGCTCTGGAAAGTAGAGGGAACTACTTTAGTAAGAAGGTGGGAAATCAGCCTCTGATTATTCAGTGCCCTTTTTTCTCCCCTCTGCTGAGCAGATCTGAGAGCAGAAGGCTTGTTTCGAGTGCCAGGCAACAGCATCAGGCAACAGATCCTAAAGGATGCTCTGAACAGTGGTACTGATATTGACCTGGACTCTGGGGAGTTTCATTCCAATGATGTGGCCACTCTACTTAAGGTGTTCTTGGGTGAACTACCAGAGCCGCTGCTGACACACAAGCACTTCCATGCCCACCTCAAAATTGCAGGTGAGTGGGCAGCAAGAGGCAGTGATGGGCAGAAGAACTGGAATTGGTCTCCTAGAAAGCACATTAGGCAGTGAAGTGTATTCCTCAAAGGCAGTGTTAAAAGGAGTCTTCCTGCCACCTCAGCCTGGTGATGGAAAGACTGGAGCTGATTAACAAATCAGACCAAGTCTGTCTAGACCATTATCCTCTCAGATACCACACTGGTAAATCCCAGTGATAACCTGGGTCTTCATCTGTTTTGTGTCCGGGGTTCTGAGCAAGTTGTGGTTTCTATGTATTTAATAACTGTTATTGAACTACCTTATGTGAACTTCCTCCATCTTACCTTCAAGCAATCACAGCTCTTAGCAGCTCTGTTGTTCTGTGGGAGGAGTAGCATAGATTAACACATCAAGTGAGGAGCTTGGGAGCTGAGGGGAAGAGAGATGGAAGGCCAAGAACTGTGCAGGGGTTTGTAGGAGATCTGTGTATGAAGAGGAAAGGATAAGCACTTGCAACAGACTGCTCTGAGGGAAGGTAATGTATGTCCTTCATGTTCTGCCTTGTGATTTGGCAGATTTGACACTGTTTGATGAGAAGGGGAATAAGACCAGCACTCCAGACAAAGAGCGCCAGATTGAAGCCCTCCAGCTGCTGTTTTTGATCCTTCCCGCTCCCAACCGCAGTCTGCTCAAACTGCTGCTGGACTTGCTCTACCAGACCGCCAAGAAGCAGGATAAGAACAAGATGTCTGCCCACAACCTTGCCCTCATGTTTGCACCCCACATCCTATGGCCCAGAAATGTGAGCAATGCCTCAGTGTCTGTGGGTGGGATATTGCGAGGTAAAAAGCAAAGGCTTGGCAGGGGAAAAACAAAGGTTTGAGAAGGTTAAATACTGACACAATGATGTGAGGGTTGGAGGCTGTGATGGAGAGGTGGGAGCCTCCTGGCAGGACTCAGCTCCAGTGTTCAGCCCAGACCTGCCATGGGTCTCATTTGCAAATTATGCATCTTCTTTTTCAGTAAAATTGAAAACATAGCATTGTCATGCTTTTTCTTAGAATGTCAGCTCCAGAAAAACCTTGCAGATCTCTCTTCAAGGTTTCTTATGCTGCTGGTGAACTGTTTCACCACAGAGTTATCTGATTCTCCTCTCAGAGCAGCTTTGGCTCAGTGAGCTGTGCTCTTGGTGTGCTATAAGCCCTGCCTGCCCGTCATCTCAAAAGTAGATCTCCTGCTGTGGCACTGTGTGTGTCTGTGTCCCAGAAGTGACCCCTCCTCCTCCCCTTCTAATGGATGGCTGTGTCCCCTTGCCAGGTGACAGCAAATGACCTTCAGGAAAATATCACAAAGCTAAACAATGGAGTGACCTTCATGATCAAACATTCTCAGAAACTCTTCAAGGTGAGTGTGCTTGGCATCTTGCTCTCCTGCCTCCATCACCAGGAGACTGAATGCCCCTTGTCCAGACACATCCCACAGGTTGAGTATCTATTCTGTAGGCTCTCTTCTGTGGTAGGAGAAGGAGACTTTCTACAAGAAACCATTCCTGTAGTGACTAGAGAGGAGGTCTTTGCTGGGCAGGCAGCCCTGGAGATGGTTTTGCCAGGGCAGGTCAGCAGCACGGTGCAGTGTAACACTTCCCTCTGCTGGACACCAGCACCTGCTGCCCGGCAGGAAACCTGGCTCCCGAGGGCAGGTACACACTGGGTTGCACTTGGGTTCTGGCAGGAGAAGGAAATGGAAGGGATTTGTCCTGCCTGAGTGCTGCCAAGAGCAGAATACCTGATGCAGTGGGTTGTTTTGCTGGGAATTTCTCTGCAAATGGTCATCAGCCCATTCCTGTTAAAGGCACTGTCCAGCTCTGAGGAGGGTGCTGGGTAGGACGCTCAGAAGTGTGGGGCTTTCAACTGTTCCTCCAAGGAAATGTTTCTACAACAAGCAGTCTCTTGACTTCTCAGGGCCTTCCTGGTCACTGGAGGCATCTGCTCACTGCAGAGTCCTCCTGTGGAGAGTTCTCTTTCTACCTTCTTTGTCTGGGCCCTGTTTGGCTAGCTCAGAACTGGGGCAATTACTTAGAGCAGGGTTCCACAGGAACTTTTCCCTACTCTGAGTTCCACTTATGCTGAATGTCTGCATGTAAAGGATACTGTGAACAGAAGTGGGGTGGGGGGTGGGGGAAACAACATCAAATTCCATGGCTTTGTTTGCCCAGAATGGCTGAGTTTTGATACCAGTGGCTTGTGTTGTATGGTTGAAAAGCAACTCTTGCTGGAGTCAGTGTTTCCCCAAGACCAAAGATGTTAAACAAACATTTGGCCTGTTCTCTGCTCATTGTCACAGGCTCCAGTGTACATCCGGGAGTGTGCCAGGCTACACTATCTGGGGTCCAGAGCCCACACATCAAAGGTAAGGCCAGCAAATGCAGCATCTGCCCACCATGAAAGGGCAGAGGTTGTGATGCTGTGAAGGGATCTTTGTGACTGATACAAGCTGAAAACCAACCAAGTCATGAAAGAGGATCTGTCAGAGGGCAGGAGCAAGGGAAGCATATGGTGTGGTAGTGCAGGTGGCTGCATTAGGGAAATTGGACAGAGTTGAAGCATCTGTTAATCAAAAGCACAGGGAAAGCAAGCTACGAGCCCCTGTTTAGCAGCAAACCTGCTCCCTGTGCCCAGTACATGCAGCACCTGCTTTTTCACAGGGCTGCTCCTTCCAAACAGACGGACATGCCTGCTGCCATGGCCAGGATGCTTGGCAGAAGTGCTGAGATAAAGGCTACTTGCTGCCATTGGGACAACATTTGTGTCTTGCCAAAAAATGCTTCCCTGCCTCATATAGCTGCAGAAGAAGGAAGATACATGGCAAGGAGCTGCACTGACCCTTCTCAAGCCTGGAATGGCTTCTGCAGCTCGCATCTGGGAGGGGAGGGAAGAAGCAATGGGGTCACCTTTGTATTGCTGTCACCTCTTCCTGGCACAGGGCCTGCTGATGCAGTGCTGCTGCAGAGGGGTAGGGAAAACACAGTCCTGTGCTTTCACTGGGGTTGAGGCAGCTCATGAGACTGTCCTAGCCTGGCTCAGATGGGTGGCTCGTTGGGATTAAAGCATGGCAAGCGACTCCTGTCTCCGCTTTCCCAGGACGACCTGGATTTGCTGACATCTTCTGGCTCCAAGGAGCTGCAGCCCCTCAAGTCTCAGAAGCGAAGCCGGCTGGACTCTTGCCATCAGGAGGAGACCCAGCAGCGCACGGAGGAGGCACTGAAGGAGCTCTTCCTCCACGTCCACAATATGCCTGACTCTGCAAAGAAGAAGAAGCTTATCCGGCAGGTAATGTGGGGAAGAAAGATATCTTGGGGTGTGCTTGTCAGCACAATCCTGGGCACAGGGCTAAAGACAGGGCCCTCCTGAGAGCTGCTCCTAATCCTGGGCAGGCTGGGGAAAGTGGGTTCTAGGCTGTGTAAGGGGCAAAGCTGTAAGAAGACAGGAGGAAATGTCCTGGATGTTGCTGTACCAAGCAGCACTTTTAAGCTCTGTTTTTCAAGCTAAGAACTTGCTAGCCGGCAGTTTCCCAGTCCTGATCATGGCCTTGTTGATCTTCCTCCCTCAGGAAGGGAAAAGTTTCTTCCCCTGTTGCCTGCAGAGAGTGGACAAACTGGTCTCTTGGTCTCAGATAACTTGCTGCACCAGACAGACTGGTCAATATGGTCAGCACCAGTCGTGGCTGCCAGCCTCCAGCTGCTGCCCAGTCTTCTTTCTGCTCCCAACATCTGCCACTTTTGGTTAATCTGGTAGCCAGCACAAAGCACCTTTGCACCCAAACTCCCTGTAATCCTGGGTGGAATGTGTGGCCTTCCTCTGCTTTCTTCCTTCTGCAGTTCTGAGCTGCTCCTCCATTTTAGGGGGTGAAGGAGAGAAACTGGATTCTGGGACAGCAGGTAGAGCTGCATGCAGCAGTAAGGGACAGGTATATCTGTGCTAACATACTGCCCTCATGTTTCCTCTTAGTTTAATAAGCATCCAACTGCTCTGACTCCTGGCTCTGATGTGCCCATGTCCCCAGCACCACGACGCACCCGCTCGCGCTCCTTCAGCGGCCTCATTAAGGTGAAAGCAGCCTCTGACCCTTGCTCTCTGCTGTGAATTTCTGATGTTGCTTTTTGCTTCTGCCTTGCCCTGCCTTGAATGACACCCTCAAACGGTAGGGACTCCTCAAAGTATTGCCTGCCAAACAACACAGATCCACTGGGGCAGAAAAGGCAGCAGAGTGACAATAAGCCTTGTTAGTGTAAAGTGTAATTAACTTGAAACACATGACTGTAGGATCTATGCAACTTTCTGGAGAATTGATTGCTTCCTGAGATGAGATGGGGATTGACAGGGAGCTAGTAATGAAGTCTAGCATGTTAGTACAGGTTTTAGCACATTATGGGCTGCCCTACAGCAGCATGTACCTGCTTTTGACAGGCTGGGCTCCTGGCCAGGCCTCAGGTCAGCTCCCAAACTCTTTACAATCAGGCAGGCTTAGCCTAGTGGTGTGATATTTCAAATGGTTCTGCTTTGCAATCTTTGTCCCAGCTTGGCTTCCTTTTTTTCTTTCCCAGCATTCAACTGCTTACAAGCAACGCATCCTGCTCCTTCAATTTCTTTTTTACTTTTCACTCTAAGCACTAGCCAACAGCCCTTTCTTCTTACAACAGCGGAAAGTTTTGGGAACTCCAGTTATCCTGGAGAGGAAGAGCAGGGATTCCACACCAGAGCCTGTGCGGGTCAGCAAAGAGAACGTCCAACTGGTAAGAGCTGCTCCCAGCACTGAAGCTGCTGGTGGGGAAGTGTGAGGGGAGTTTGAGTGCAACTTCAGCAATCCCTGGGGAGCTGTTCTCTGCCCAAGAGAAGGGTTCCAAGTTTCTTCTGTATGATAAAATAAGGTCCTGAGAAGTTGCTCTGAGGAGAGCAGAACAGATGGCAAGGGCAGCATCAGAGCAGCAATGACAGTGCTGAGCCTCTACTCCAGTCTTGTCTCTCTGGCTGTGTCCTGCCCTGGGGCATTGTATTATGCCCCCTTCCCTCTCTCTCATCCTCCTCCACAGATTGTAAAAAGCCTGATGCCTGTGTGCAGTAGGGTTGTCCCTTGGCCCAGACAAACCAAGAGTGGATTTGGGTGATAGATGCTCTTTGGTGGTACAGGCTGCTCCAAGGGAAGGCTGTGGATGCCAGTTCATTCACCAAGCTCTCTACTCCTGTTGCCCTCTCTTGTCCAGTTGCAGAAGTGTGGCTCTCCCGCTCATATGTCCCAGGCAAAGCTGAAGTCTTTGGAAGGCCAGAAAGAGGTGAGACACTCTCCCTTACCCCCCATTCCTCTTCCTGCAGGGAACTTGGTGTGCTGAAACCTGCTGAGGTGACAGCACACACTCAAGGCTCTGTGACAGCTGTGGTGCCCCAGCTCGTAGCAGTCTGCTCCATGCTGAGCTGCAGGCAGGTGACATGCTGGAAGCCACACCCTGAAGGGTCTTACAGCCCTTCTGCCTGTGAGTTGGCAGGCTGGATGTTGCAGGAAACAGAGGGAAGCTGGCAGCACAGGGTAGTGCTAACAAACAGCCTGTCAGGGTGGCAGTGGGACAAGAGGTTGGTGCAGCCCAAGACCAGTGGCTGCGTTTGTTCCTCCCTGCTCACTGCCTCACCTAGAGCTTTAACAAAAGGTGTGGGAGGCTGACACCAGGGAAGGGTCTTCGAGGGGGAGAATGTCAGCCTTTTTCTGCATGGTGTTGTGTGTCTCAAGCATTCAACTGCACTCATTCTCTGCTCCAGGGATCCTGCAGACGCATGCGAGCCCGCCTGCTTTCCAAGGACTCATCCTCCCTCTGAATCGCCTCGCGCCAACGCATGGGTGGGGATTGCCCAGCCTCGCAAGCTGTGAATAGAAAATGTGCTGCACTGAGAGGGAGTGCTGCAGCTCACAGCAACCCTCAGCAACACAGCAGCGCTCCTGAAACTGGACCTTTGCAAGGATTGCAGGGATTTGTTTCTTTCTGTATATAAATTATATTTCATTCTACTATGGGGCAAACCACTACCTAACCAAAACTTGTGCAGCATGTCTGACCTGCTGACTCTGGGAAGAGCTGGAGTGCTTGCTTACAAGGAGAGCCCTGTTCATTGCAGGGCCCTGTGTGCACTCCCAGCTTTCTTTTAATGTTGCTAGGCTGTATTTTTTTGCTTTTCTGCTCTGAGTTTTTAACATGTTGGCTTGTTTTTGCTTCCTTCCCCGTTAGCAGTGAGAATGATGGGCTGTAACCCTTACCCACATCCTGACATCCAAGCTTCCAGTCCTCCTCTGGAGGCACGCCCTTCTCTGCTTCTTCTTGGCTCCATTTTGCTCTGCTGTTTCCAAAGGGCTGAAGTGCACAAATGGTACAGAGCATGGGATGGGCTTGTAAGGAGAGACTCTGAATGCCATCTTTTCTAGTAGGGCCAGGGGAAAGCAGCTTCCCCAGTAAACTTATCCCTCTATTTTAGCTTGAGCTGGAGGCAGCCCTTGCTCACTGCCTTCATGTTTCAGTGGCACAGTTCTGAACAAGGAGTGTCTTGGCTTTGTGTTCACCCAGGAAGGCTTAAGCTGAGGAGAGCAGGAGGCTGGCAAAGGCTGTCTGGGGCAGAACAGCCTAGTCTTTGGAAGTTAAGGTGCCTGGGGCAGGCAGAGTCTTGTGGCTGTGTGTGAAAGAGAAAAACAGTGTGAGAGGTGAGAGAGGGCTCCATCCATTTGTGATCTGCTGCAAATGGTGCCAAAGGCTTTGTCTCAAGATATCTGAATGGCTGGTAAGGCAACTGGCTGATTAATCACTAAACTGGGGGAAAGGGCTGAAGCTGGGTTCAGCTCTTTGGTTGGAGCTGCAGAAATGAGATGAAACCTTCTAGGTACAGGATAAACCCCAATCACAGCTGGCCAATGTCAGCAGTCTCGTTAAGTCTTACTGGAGCACTAAGCCAGTCTTGCCAAGAACCTGTCTGCAAGCACTCTGAGGTAGGATACACGCAGGGTTGCTATTGTGAAATGAAAATTTAATCAGCTGGGCGACCATCTAAACACTTCTTAGCAAAGTAAATAATCTCTGGAATCCAATTATATTTGTCTTCTAATCTTTAAGACCAGCAGCCAGCAGGAGTTAGAGCTCTGCTCTTGACAGCTTTCTGAAACAACTGGTGGCAGGAGGTGTGAATATTGGGATATGAACAGGGAGTTCAGTCTGATAGGCTGGAGCTGTCAGAACAGGGCATTGGAGCCCTGTGCAATTTAGCTGGAATTTGCCACTTTTTTAAATTGTGATTTTTTTTTTTCCAAGATACAAGTCCTTGTGCTGCTCGGTACAAAGGGTGGTTTTTGGTACTTTATCAGGGATGCTTGTCCCCAGTCTGACCCCAAGTTGGAGCCTTGAAAATATAGGGGGTAAGGGACTGTAGATGTGTGAGTTGGGAGTTGCTGGTGTTAGGAGCCTCTGTCACAGCAAAGAAAGGCTGTGGTTCTTGAGGGACCAGACTGATGATGATGCTGTGAGGAAGGGCAGAGGCTGTTTGCTGTGGTAGTAGTATGTGCATTTTGGATGTGTCTGTAATCATTCCCTCCAGAGGCTGAAGCTGTCTGTGTGCTTTTCTCCAAAGGGCACCATGTTTTTCTGACTGCACTTCTGCCCTGTTCCTGCAGCCTACTGTTAGCAGAGACTTGGGAATCTCAGCTTTGCCTTTGAGCAGAGATGAGGCACAGACAAAGGTCAAGTGGCAGCACAGGGAGAGCCGGGTCTGCTCCTGCTATCTCTGCTCTTAATTGCATTGGGGCAATTGCTGGGTGAAGCATTTGTTCACTCCTCCTCTCCCCATTGTCCCTACTTGGCATATCTCATACCTCTCTGCATGGGTGACTGCTTGGCAAGGCGGTCTTGTGGCTAAAACTAAGTACACTGCTCCCATATAGATGAGACAAATGGAACTCTCCACTGTCCCCCCTCAGTGATGGCTCTAGCTCAGGGGCTCTGTCTGGCTTCTGGCACAGCTGAGATTTGTTCAGCTCTAAGGAAAGTTACCTACGGGGCATTGGCCAGGCCTTCTGCATGTGTCAGATGCCTTACCTGCCAAGGGGGTGGGTGCTGTCTCCAGTCCTGGGAGGGATTTAGTGCTCTGGGCTTGAGTCTGTGGTGCTGGGCTCGCCGTGCTGTGGATGGTGGTGGCTGACAGATTCTGCCCCTCGGAGCTCGGCTGTGGCTGTCCCAATGCATTTCTGCTGTCTCCCAGGCACGGGAGAATTTTAGTCATGCTTGGATGTGTCTTGCCCTGTGCAGTGACTCATAAGGATGCCTCTTCCCAGAGCAGCCGCTAACTGTTCCCAGAGTCTATCATTTCCAAAGTATTTTTAATCTTTGTCCTTATTTATATATGCTATGTCAGTACTGTTGCAGACTGTTGCCTTTCTGTGTGTTATGTGAAAACACCACATTAAATGCTTTTATTTTTAGTGGTTTTGCTTGGTGACTTAAGCAATTTCACTGGGACAACAAGGACTCCCATCTACCTTCAAAAAGAAGGAAATGTCTGCTTAGAAGCCCAGGGCTACTACTCTTAAGTGTGGGGGTCCTTGGTGAGGTGCTGCCCACCTGCAGGGATGGCACTGGCCTCCCATGGCAAGAGGGCTTTAAAGCTTCTGGGATACTTGGATGATACAGGGTGTGCCCAGACAGGCTGTCTTTCCTTGGAAGTATGAAGTTGGACCTCTTCTTTTCCTGTCTTCCCCCTGCTGTCATCCAGGGTGATGGGAAATCAGGTTTACAAAGAACACTTTATATAAATAATGGATCAAATGAATAAATTTTTCTCTGTAGGGCCATTCTTCTCTTGCCACTCTTGGCTGCTGAGAGAGGATGCTTTCTGCTTGCATTTTCTTTTCCTCCTTCTTAATAATGGTGTCTCAGATTTTATGCAGATTATTTCTCTGTGAAGTTCTTCCACGTTTGAAATGCCCTGGGCTTGCCTGCCATAGCTCAGACACTCATTAACATCCTCGCCATGCAATTGAAAACAAGCAGGAGAAGGAGCGTGTTTGAAAGCGGCGCTGCCTTCCTGCGGGCTGAGCCCCAGGAGAGCCCCCTTCTCCTCCGTGCCTGCAGCTGGGTGTCACGGGAATGGGGAGCCCCATCTCCCTGGGGCTCTGGGAGCAGGAGGCGACGGCCTCTGTGCACTTCAAAGCGGGCATGAGAGTCTAGAGAGACATTTCTCTTCTTGAACATGTTGAACAAAGGAATGCAAAAACTCACAACAGCTATCTTCAATACTGAAAATCCAAATATCGCCCCCCTGGTAAGCTGTGATTCAAAGTAACAGCTTTATCTGGCTTACATAATTTAAAAAAATGAGTAGGTTTTGGCTTCTGAAGCCACAATCCAAGCACTTATGCTTGACTGCGAGTGAAAAGGCAGTAGCCGCTGGGACCCAACACTAGGTGAAGGTATATATTTAAAGGGGGATCACTCATCTCTCAGTGTGTTTGCTTTGGCCTGTTGGTATGTATGCACAGCAGTGGTGTTACAAAGCAAATAAGCAGCGCTTACCTTCATTTAATGAAACAGTTTTTATCTCAAATTGCACAGCACAGACTTGCAAATAAGTTCTTCAGGGTGTCACTGCTATCTAAATCAATTTTTGCAAGTTGTCTTGATTTTTTTTTTTAACTGCTCTGCCCTGGTTTGGAGTTGAAATAAGATATTTTCTCTCTTAAATTATCATGTGTGGCTGGGAGCTGTCATGTTGCTGCTGCATCTCACTGCCTAGGGCAACAGTGTAGACAAAAAACATGACTGTTGCTAGCGATAGATATTGGCATCAGCCAGACCAGTTATCAGGCTTTACAATCTCATTGGCTTGGATTAACTAATATTTTTTCACTGAGTGAATAAATTACCATGTTTAGTTCTGTTTGCTCATCTCCCCAGTGAGGGTTTTGTGTTGAAGCTCATAAACTGTTCAGGCACGTAGATGCCAAGATTTCCCACAGTGCTGGGTCCCACACTGACCTTACACTTGTGCTGTGGCCTGGAGTGGGATCTCACCTGGCACCACCTCTCTGGTCCCATCCTGTTACAGCCCAGCTTTGTTCCTGGGGAGTGCCCACACATGAGGAATGTGATCGGGTTGTTTTGGAGCTCCTGTGCAAGGAGCTGCTGTCCCCAGTCATGCATCACAGCACCAGCCTTCAATTTTAGTCTGGAGGGAGACAAGCTTTCCTTTCTCTGCTGAGTCTCAGCTGGAGTGGTCATTTCTGTGGTCCCCTTCCCAGTTCCTCCTCTGCCAAGTGAAACCAGTCCCCCCTGCCTTGCTGCTGGGGAAGATTTACAAATCCACAACCCAGCTCTCCCATGCAGTGCCTTACATGATATTGAGATCGTCTCCTTTTCCACTGGAGAGAATTGTGTCCCACTTGATGCTCTGCTTTTGGCTGAAGCTCTTGTGCCACTGGGAATTGTGATGAATAGAGGTGCCAACCTGCCTTGGCCATCATGGCTGCATGTACCTTGATGTGTGCACAGGTCTATGATATGAGGCTGTCTGTCTTGACCTGTGGTTTTAGAGTTTGTTTCTTCCAACCTTTTTGCTTACAAAGCTTGAGCCTTGCTTCCCTGTGGAGCAGGATCTCGTCAGCGTCTCGCACAAAAGCCTCTGGCTCCATTGTGCCTCTCCCAGGCCGTTCTGCAGCGGCAGCACAAGAGGGGGCTGGCAGCACACACTGCAGGACGGGACCCCCTGCCCGCCCCGCAGCCCCGGGGCCCCGCGCCAGATGTGCTGGGGGCAGCCTTGGAGACGCCTGCTTCTTCCTCCCTGGCTGCATCTGGCAGATGGAGGAAGAGGGAAGCTGGGACTATAAATTAAGTGAACAAAAACATAAAGAGTACTGAGAAGGCTGGGGAAGGATGTCCTCAAAATCAAAAATCAGCTCTGCAGACAGCCTCTAGCATGGTCCTCCAGCTCTAAGGAGAGTCCCTGTCTGCATACAGGGCCAA